CTGACACAGGCACATTTCTCTTTCCTATGCATCTCTGCTCCCCTCCCTCAGCACTCTTCTGCGTCCTCCCATCTGCCTCACACTCAAATCTATTCTTTGTTGGTTCTGGTCCATCACTCAGCCTGAGCCATTTCGGTATCTCAATCTCAGTCTGTCCTTTTTGGTCATGCAGATGCCTGCTAAATTTTAAGCCCCCCTTATATGAACTGTTCCCTCTCTGGTCATGTTTTTAGAAGAATAAAAAAGTCTAGAATTTATGAAAACTCGAGTTTGTCTAGAACACTAACTAGATTTGAATTTGTCCCTCATGAGAGTGTAAAGCTTATTGATTCTGTTGCATCAGAAACATAACAATTCAGTCTGGGTAGTAAGCTGGTAAATACCGAGTTTATTGAAGATACATTTGTACTGAAAAATATTTTCAAAGTAAACAGACGGCGTACGGTTGCAGAATTAAAGCAACAGTGTTTTGGAGTGGCATGTCAATGCCTGCCTGTTCGTGGCTCGCCAAGGTAAGCAAGATGGAATGATGTGCTGGAGATTCATCAGAGATAACGGCAGCACACCATGCAGTATTTGTTACATTCTTCCTCTGCATAAACATATCAACCCATTCCAGTGGAGCAGTGATCACTTTCTAAAGCTATTATTGTTAATAAAATGCTGCATTCAGATAAATATTTAAATCAGTCTGGACTAGCAGCACCACACCTGGACATGTGACAGCCTGCATTAAGTCTTATCAATTCCCTTTTTACAGGTTTGAGCTAACCACACCTTCCACTTTCCATTGTTTTCAACATTCTTTGATTCAGGTCCTTCTTTCACCCTCCATTATCTGTCGCTACTCTGTACCTCTATACCCTAACCCAGCGAGCTGATCCAGTCTGGTCCAATCTTCCAACCAGACTTGATCAGAGGTTGGCCACATTCCATTCAAAATGTAAACCTCCCTCCCTAGTTCTCGCTCTCACCCACCCTTCTGTGTTTGGGCCTCATTCTGCATTCCTCAATCACTAATACTGTTCTCTCCCCCTCTCTCCCTGTCTATCTCTCTTTCTCTGTCTCTCTCTTTCTTCTTGCCTTCCTTTCACACTTACACTACTCCCTCTCTCCATCTCTAATTACATGCCTGGTCAGAACAAAGCTTGTACATCACTCCCTCTTTATTACTGTTTACTATCTCTGTCTTACATCCTCCCATCTTTTATTAAGCTAAACAAACAACTCCTCCTTCACACATTCCTCCTGTAGTGGTCTGATCATATCAATCGTTCACTCATTACATGCATCGTCTCAGGGAAGTCATGGCTTATTGTCCTATTGCCATGCTTGTTGTCCTAAATGATTAGATAAATAAAAGCCGTTCTGGCTTCTCTTCATCAGCATACATCTATCAGCATACAGACTATCTTCCACCTGTTGCTACTGAGAACAGAGGACGTGTTCAGAATGAAGAAGTGAGAATTAAAGTTTTGTGCTCACAAGTGCTTACCTGATGTTTCATTTTGTTTTGGTCTGCACCTATAGTTTATAATTAAAATAACAATAATAGAAAAGCCTATATTGTCCAACATTACAACCAAATTGTAAAATTGGTCAAACTGTCCCTTTAACAGACTTTGTACAGTGCAGAGTTTATCTCAGTGTGAACCTGCTCCGCTGCTTGCTTTGCTGGGCGGGTAGGCTCTGTGTACACTGCCTTCTCTTCGGCCCTGTGACTCATGCAGCTGGTGACTAATTACAAAGACAGTCCCTGCTGGAATATGTAAATACAGCCATTCAGGCCCTCACTCCCCATACCTTTACCCTCCCTCGGTGGGTGAAACAATGTGAGCAACTAGCAACGTCATGTAAGTAACCCACACCTCGAGAGGGAAAAACAGCACAAAAAGCAGATACCAACAAAGGGATATCTCAGTGGAAACGGTGCCGTGTATGTGTTTAAACATGAATTTCTGGATGACTGATACAGGTAAACACGGAATACTGGTCCAAGTATAATTTCCTCCTGATCTTCACAGGTGAAACCAATCAAACATAAAGTTGGGCGTGTCTATAACTCTCGGATCATCACATCTGCTTTCACTCTGATCATTCTTCTGAATGGTACACAGGCCAAAACACAACAACAACAAAAAGTTATAAAGAGGAAACAATTTGTTTTATGGATAGGTGGATAGGAATAATATAACCAAAACAAACTGCAACCCTGTTGGACAGATCTGCGAATATTTGTGGCTGTTCTGTTCTGCCAGTGCAGCAGATAAATCTGACATGCCTCTAAATCAACAATATTAAACAACAGCACCTGCAGACTATATCCAAAACTTAAGTGCAAGTCCAGCTTTGTACTGTAACACACACCAACCCTAACAAAAGGCATTCTGCGTTATATTGGCAGTCTGTCAAAATGAAAAGATTAATCAAAAACACTTCTTCCACAGGATGAAAAAATAGTCTCTCCCTTTTTTAGTTTTTCTTTTCATTCAGTGGGAATGAGGACAAACATGGCTCCCACCCAGGAAATCAACACTGCAGCAATAATGTTAGCATAAACTCCAATCAGCTGTACTGTTAGCTCAACACCCAGGTAATCATGATAATTACTCATAATTTACTTTAGGTACACATCATCATGAAGCCAATGCTAAATGTCCCGAGAGCAAGAGTCTTAGAATTTTTAAACCATAATAAGACATTAATAGCCCTAAGGGATAGCACTCTGAAATAAAAACAGGGAAATGCCTAGATGAAGTTGTCTACATGAGGGTATTTTTAAGGATCCTATCATAATGTATAAAGTTGCTATATGGGACATTGTTTATCAATGATACAAAACCTTTTAGTGAGTCACTTGTCTTTATCTGTGACAGGTGACTAATAATCACCTGTATAGTTTCCACTGATGTCAGGTCAACAGAAACTGTGTTAATCATTAAGTCACAAGTCACGAACACAGCAACCGACGGTTCATGAGCCTCCTGTATCTGTTGATTTAATATTGTCAGTGATCATTTTCATGGACGTACATTTGAGCATCAAAACCACTATGATGACAATGAAGCTGAGGGAAGGCAGTGCAAACAAAACACTTGTGCTTTCAAGACTGGTGATCCAGCTCCCATCATGCTCTGCAGTGCTTCCAATCAGCCTTAAAGAGACCTTAGGCTTGTTAATTCACCTACAAACAGGACTCTCCAGAGCTGCCCTGACAACCAGCAAACAGTGAACACCCCACCGCCAGCTCAAAAGCCCTATACAAAATGTTCAAAAATAGATGCCCAGAGGCTAGCTGCTAATATGTTACTGTGTGTGGCAAAGCGATTGTAAGACAGACTGGCAGTGACAGGGTCCACACAGGCTCAAACCCTTGTGCTATTTTTGCAGCAGTGAACAATGACACATTAATGGCTCGTCAGCAACGCAGCGCTGATACAAAAGCAACAACAATGCGGCCCTTATTTAAGACTCAGACCACAACAATGCACTGACACTCACTGTTGAACATCCATCCCTCTGTCCATCCTCCAAAGTAACTGCACACCAAAAATTGTTTAAACCCACGAGGCGACTATCAATGGACAGAAAACCATGTGAATAAAATGTCATTCCACCAACATTATCCAAGATAAACGACATAAGTGGATGTAATTTTGTAAAAAATCCATCTAGATAAAAAAAAAACAGTATCTAAGTAAGCAAATTTGGTATAAAAGAGTGTCACATGCGCATGTTTTCATTGTGTGTGTGTGAAGGAGCAAGTCATGTATTGGAATATGAACTGCATTTTCTAATCATTTAGAAATCATTTATTTTAATTGATCACTGTAGTGCTAAGTTCACACAGACAGGAATCAAACCACTGACCTCACCCTAAGGCAACAAAACCAGCTACGAAGTGTTATGCTAACCTGTGAATTAAGAAGATAAAAAAATAAATGACAAACCAATACTATTATTGTTTAAAACCACTGTTTTTTTCCCATTTTCTAAATATTTGCACCATGTGCTCAGAGTTAATTTCCAGTAAAGTTCTACGCAATACACCTGTATTGCGAAACCAGGGTTCAAACATTAGGGCGCTGTGGCCACATGAGTGTTTCTGTGTTTTTATCTTAAAGTTGCTGCATGACCAATGTCGGACGCCTGCATGCCAGTGTTTTTGTTTAGCTTTTTTTTTCCTGTGTGTGTGAGCAGCAGTGAGCACAGCATGGGGGCTAATGCCTGGAGCATGTAATTGAAACATGGTCCCACACAGCGCTACACAGTGACCCCCACTAATCTCCTTCTGACAAAGTAGCTTAGCTTCTATAGGGTCATATGGCTCAGTAAGGCAGCTTAAACAACAGCGGAGCCAGCGCACAGTCCGACCTGCACCGACTGACAGACCCCCCAGGGTCCTACTAGCATTCAACATGTCGTACACTAGTTAAGATTCACTTTGGAAAAAGGGGAAGAAATAAAATGCTGTAGCCATTTGTATTCTCTTACAAACAGGCTTAAGCAGTCACTAATTAAGACACCAAAACACATACTCCCTGTCCAGAGTGTGTTATTATAGGGACAATGGTAATGAGACAATAAAATGTTAGTAAGTAGAAGAGAAATAGTATGAATTTTATGAGATCATAAATTCGAGACCTGTCAACATCAACATCAACATCAAATCACTGAAAAGCCATCCCTTAAAATAAATTTCACATAACAAGAAATCTTTACTATTTCCTGACCTGCAGTACTCTTTATTTGTAGTTTAGCAACGCTAAACAAAAAGGTCAGTGAGGTCAGTAAGGGGTTTTGTGAGTGGCTTGTGTGAATGCTTGATTATGTTTTGTTTTGAGATACATAAAATACAAAAAGTGGGACAAAAAGAAAAAACATCTACGTATTATTATCTATTGTTTAAAGTAAACACACAACAGTTTATCAGGTCAGAAAGAAAGACGATCTCATCTAAAACTTGGGCTCTTTGTTCAAGCACCTTCTTGTTTTCTTACCTTTCCTCTGCAGAAACAGCCTAAGCAGAGGGCTGGCTGTGGAGATGGCCTTGTGATAGTTGTCATCATTGTTTATGGGCAGCAGGTCGCCGTGCACGTCGGCGTAGCCCACCAATAGATCCACATTGGGGATGCGGTGCACGTGCTGCAGGAGACCGTAAAACTCATCAAATCGGCCCGGCTTCGAACGATCCAGTGAGAAGCGACGAAACTCGGCACCAAACTGGCAACAGAACAGACATGGGTGTTGAAGGGAAGGCATGCACAACACTACATACAACATATTATACTACATATGGCCGTGTTGGGTAGACAGGTGATAAATAGACAACACATTAGGCCATGGCCAGGTTCCTTTTTCCATGATCTATAGTTGATGACCTGAATGAATGAAAGAAACGAAACAACATCCCAATTGGTGGAGCTGTTGATGTGGAGTGCTAAGTGTTGTGGTTACTGTTGCCTAGGCATTGGCAACAGATTATGTGCCATTATAATCCAACACTAATCAGATTATTAATTGGATTTTAATAAATATAGGCACAGGATACAGGACAGCTGTGAGCCTATGGCTGGGGAATAACTTCAGTTTTAGGCTAAAACATTTTAACTGACATTGAACTGAAAGCCCTACGTAGTATCAGAAACACAATTTCTTTGTAACAATGGCTTTGCACTTGGTTGACAGTGGTGAAATACTGTAAAGGTATAGAAAGTGTGTCACTCAGCTTCCAGACTATGACAAGAAGTGGCAATGTTTGGTAACTGTGTAGTTTGCTTTCAAATGTCTACCCAGGAGGTGTCAAAATGTTAAATCTAAAAAAAACTTAACTCCGGTAAATTATAAATAGAACTCTCTGAATTTAAATGACACGTGACCTACTCTGTGCTAGTCAAGGTACAAACAAATGAGGCGACAGCATTTGTGTCAATATATAATTATTCCCCAAGCAGAGCCCAAGGCCAGTTCTTTTACTTTGTCATCCGGCAGAAGTAGGGTAATAGGTCGCCTGCTTTAGGGTACTCGTCACCTGCATGCACACAATTTTATGACATTCAGGAATAGCACAATAGTAGAAAAATAAGCCTAATCAAACAACACCTTGTTGTTCAAAACTGAGCTTTAATAATCGGTATATTGCTGACTATGTAAAATTAATACAAGAACAAGGTCTCTATCATTGCAAGTCATTTAGTAGCTTGTGATTAACACCTAAAAGCTCTGATGTTTATGTACTAGAATGTGCTTTTACATTTGATCCACTGACAAATGGCTTCTTATCCAGTCTATCAACTCTGTCTGCATCTATATATATATATACATCTATCTATTTTTTTAAAAATAACACTTTTCCTAAATATTTAGTCACAATATTTCATCTGCAGTCTCGGAAAAGGTGAACAAATACAGGAATGTTCCTAATTAAATATTTGTTTTTCAAATACTATATTTGTGTGTATAGTATACAAATACAACACTAGAAAACATTCCAAGCAATGTATGGATTATTTCAACCAATTGCAAAAACGGATAATTATCTGCTCTTTTTGGCCGATTCACAATAATCCATAATAATATTTTTAATTTAAGAAATACTAATCTTCTTACGGAATTTTGTTTCTGTTAAACTGAGGATAACAAATGCTGTCATGTAGCTGTGACAAGACAATTGTTTCTGTTAAACTGAGGATAACAAACGCTGTCATGTAGCTGTGACAAGACATGACAAATGACATTATTTATTAACACTAGTCAAGTTTGATTACCTCAAAAGATAATGAATCTGCTCTCAGTAGAATGACATATGCAGCCCAAACAGACTGAATGCTTTTTGCTCAATGTTGAAACCTTGTTGCATTTACTGCGTAAACTATTGACTTAAACTACCTTATAATGCAATATAAATAAAACACATTATTGACCAGTAATCTATCGGCAACCAAAAGTATCATGCACCTCTAATTTTAAGTGGTGAGTTTTATATTTTGTGTGCATACCTAAGCTACACTCCAAAAAATAATTAAAAGATAATATAGGTCACAAAAAGCTAGGAGTTGGTTAAAAACCAAACCAAACCTAACCAGAAAAGAGCATAAAAAAGCTACATATAGAAAAATGAGCAAAGACTAACTACATGTTATACTAAGATCGACGAGGAGAAATATTCAAAATTTTATTCAAATTCAAAATGAAAGGACAACTATCTCCCACCCAAGTTAAGCCAGATCCAGCTGAAAAGTTGCTAGTATAATAGACAAAATACTAATGGTTGGGTCAGCAAAAGTATAATATTAATAAAATTAGTATAAATATAATAAAAAAAGGTTAAAAGTTTGTTGTATATATATATAAAACGGAGACGACAAATAAATGCCAGACAAAAACTAGCAAAATGATAGCTAGAATTACCCTTAACTAATATCTTAAATATATTTCAGGTTACATTAATACACGTGAGACTAAAATATCTTTAAAATAATAATTAATTTATGAAGACTAAGGAAGTTAAACGTCTACCAAAATACGTATATGATACTGATAAAAGAGCGCGAGGGGAGGAGGAGGCGGAAGTGACTGTGACAGGTGTCAGTTGTTCACTTCAGCCATCAGCTGATAACCTCCGACAACAAACTTTAGTGTTAAACTAATCGATTCTACACTCAACAGTGAAACATTTTGATAAACAATAACTACGACGGGCTAATATTTTTAACTACTAAAAAAAAACAGCCCCTGTTTGCGCCTGATATTTTGTGTGTATGTCGGTAAAATAGTTCGACATCATAACCTGCTACCAGGCTAATTAGCAGCTAATTAAAATGTAGTCAGAAAAACATTCACGGAGTGAGTAAGGACCGACTTTAAAGTTAGACAAAAATAATGAACAAAGTTTCTATGCACACCTTGCTCTTCACCTCCACAGAACTCAGTGAACGGCTGCTCGCCACCCGGTGGTTTTTGTTCATGTTTGGCCGGAGCACTTGTCACGCAGCCGCCGCACGTCCAAAAGGGCGAATACACGGCTTTATTTCTTCATGAACACGGAGTGTCCCGGGGCTCTTCGCACGGCTTCTGTTCTCTCAGCTCCTCTTCTTTTTCCCCTTCTCCAAGAATCGACCACTGTCCTCCCAGCTCAGCTCAGCTCAACTTCTTTGCTCTCATAGTTACCGAGTTACCAACGCGGCAGCTACGACACAACACAGACTGACGAACATGGAGCGTCTGTGCTTTCACCTCTGACAACGAGTCTACCTCTGAGACTTACAGTAATGTTCCCGGAGAGGTGAGACGCCAGCCTTCAAAATAAACTCCACTGCTTTTCCTATAATCCTTTGCAAAATAAAAGCCTCGTTTAATGTAATTCATTGCAAATAAATACTTCTTCCTGTTAAGCAGCGAATTCAATTGCTGTGTATTTTAGAACACACCACAAACGATCTTCGATATATCTGTTAAATGTACGTTTTAAATCTTTTAGAAATTTGTAATACATCTGGTTCGGTTAATTAACTACTTCCTGTCCATTTGTTTGTACACTTTTGAGAAGTTTGAGACGTGAATATTTGTGCTGATTGTACTTTTATTCTCATTCGACTTCTTCTGATTCTGAACCAAATTTATCTTGTGTGGTTTTGAGGCATTTTGGCTACAGCTTATCTGATTTGTTTTGGGATATACGTAACTGATTGACGTTGAATTATTTCAGGTTAAGGTTTCACCTTATTTAAGCATTTATTAACTTGTGTTACAAAAGATATCAAAACAACAAAAATAGATATACCAAAGTAAAATTTATTTTGTTAGAGTGACCGAAACCTGTTTCTTATTGTATAGTGACATCTACTGGCCAAAGTAATTTATGACTTTAAACTGTAGTTTATTATTCGATGTATGTATGTACAGCATGTTTTGCAAGTTATGTTGTTGTTGTTTTTTAAATTCAGAAATATATTAAGTGAACATTGTCAAATCATCTACCGATATCATGTCAAATATACTAAAGACAAGACAAAATATATACGTAAAACTCTTTATTATATTTTTTCTCAGGTCTGACCAAGAACAACACTTTTATGGATGATAAGACGAGTTACGGGATCTGTGGTATCTTAATTGTTGCTACTATAAAAGGTGTGAGTTAGATTTAGTCCTTAGTGGAAGCAGGAAGAAACAGCTTCTTCGTTCTATGATGGTTCTTTCAACCTATAGATGGAGGCTCCAGAAACAGGAGTAGTTGAGGCATATGCATCATCGTCAGCTAGTTTCTTCATCATATGACAGAAGTAAGTTGAAGCAGAGGCAGAGCAGGTGCCAAGAGTAGTTTTCTTAAAAATGTGATGGCTCAACTAGGTCATAGGTGGAAGGCCGTGTAACAGGGCTAAGAGGGGCAGATGAAAGCTCAGTGGCTGTTTCTTCATCTGACAGATCATCCATGCTATTAGCAGATGCTGCAGAAGCAAGGCTGGCGGCACCAGATACAGTTTCAGCAGCTGTTTCATCATCATCTGGTATGCTGTCCATACTATTGGAGGATGGCACCGCTGCAGGACGGGTAGGGAGAGGAGAAGCCTCGGCATGTCGTTCTTCTTCGTCTGGCGCATCATCCAAATGTTTAGCAGACGCTTCAGAAACATAACTAGCAGAGATATATAAAGTGTCCGCAGCTGTTTCTTTATCATTTGATGATTCTTCTGAGCTGTGGCAGGATGCTCCAGAGAGAGCACTAGACAAAGGAAGTGAGATCTCGTCAGTGCTTTCTTCTTCTTCCGATAGGCCCTCCAAGCTCTCAGTGGATGCTTCAGAAAGACAACTAACAGAGGCAGGTGGAATGTCATCAGTGGCTTCTTCATCAGCAGATGGCTCAGCGGAACTACTAGCTGCTGCTTCGGAACCATTCATGGATAAAGCAGTAGATATGACAACTGTAGAGTCATCGATTGAGCTGAATACAGATGATGATTTATTACAGCTGAATTCAGAACTCTCTAATTCGGACAGGTCGTCCAATTCATCAGTGGATGAACCTTTCTTGAACAGCCTTAATGGTAATCTGCGAATCCTCTTGAAATTCCTGAAGAGCTGGGGAAGGAACCAGATAATTCTTTTAAAATGATTCCTCTTGGTCTTGAGTTTACCTCTATCACTGCCAGTATTTTCATTTTCATAATCAGCAGTGACATATGAAGGATCTGGCACAGGTAGATCTTTCTTAGTGGCAGCACGAGCAGCTGTTAATTCATGATCTGATGTGTCGTCGAAGAAATCACTTGGGAAATGGTCCAGGATCATAAAAGGATGCCTCAGAGCTTTGCTGGGTGTAATTCTTTTTTCTGGATCTACTTGCAGCATCTTTTTGAGGAAGTTTACGAAGGCAATCGTGTCTGCACAGTTTGCTGTGTCTGGGCGAGTCATCGCAATATTATCCAAGCTGGTAAACTGTGTAGACGAGGAGTCGCGGAGCGGCAGGTGAATACCGCGGATGAACCTGTTAACTGATGGAGATGAACAGGTGCACTCTGTTTTCAGTTCAAATCTACCGTTTGATTCTACAAAAAACTTCCCAGTGTGAATCCCTGAGCGCAGCAAGTGATTTTCAGGTCGGCCGTGATACTGCACAACATCTTCCATCTTTGCTAGTTCACAAAGTCCTGAATACAAGTCGGCCTTGATGTACATCAAGACCATCAAGCAGCCAAGAGCCCACATGTCCACAGGCTCGCTTAGCGGAAGGCCCAGTAAGACCTCGGGGGCCCGGTACTTCAGAGGATAGACAGAATCACCACTGCCCATTTCAGAGACAGCACGAGCCTGGCCAAATTCAATCAGCATCACCTTGAAGGGCTCCAGCCTTATCATTATGTTTTCCAGCCTGATGTCTCCATGGATTATTCTTATGCTCTTGAGAGCGTTCAGCGCCACCAGCAGCTGCTGTGCAATCATTTGAATCTCGGACAGATGCAGTGGCCTGTTGAATCTTTTGAGCAAATCCCCAAGAGTCACGTCCAGCCTTTCAAATTCCAGGAAAAGATTTCCATTAAGCTTGAAGTACCTCTTTATTTGAATCAGGTTGTTCTCCGCTTGGTCAAGCTCCTCGAGTTTCTTGTGTATGTAAACCTCTCTCAGGCCAAAGTCGGCAAAACATTTGGGTATTGCTTTAACGGACACCAAGTCTTGGGTGTTGGATCTTATACACTGGAACATGATTCCATAACTCCCGTATCCCAGCAGCCTTTGGACCACGTATCCAAATGATTGTAATAGGGGTTTAGTGGTTTCCAACCAATCTGTGAAATTTGTATCTTGTTTTTCACTCATTTTGAACCACTGATAACTGTTATAATTAAATATATAAATATATATATATAATTTAAATTAATTCCTTAATTAACTAACGATACCCATTCGTTTTCATAGTTGTGTTTGTTTCACATTAGTTGGTATGTTCCAAGTGCAGGACTGTTTGTAGTTACAATATTTGCGTAGTTCTCATGTATCCCCTTATCATCCCTGACAAAGTGCACTTCTTGATCAACCTCATTACTTCTTTAAGTTGGAAACGTCAATTAAAATGTTCACTGAGGTGTCGGCATCTTTTATCCTGTCTACTGAATGGTATCTTTGGTGCATTGTGGCAGTTGATGTTACCTTTGTAGAGATTCTTTAGATCTTTGATGTGCTTTGATGTGGTTACGTTACTCGTAGGGGGCTGTTTTGTGCGTTGATTTGACGTAAATTTCATGGTCGTAAGAATCCCAACTTGCACGATATTTCTCTACGAATCAACAATACGATCGTAGAGAGAATGGTGGTTGTAATCCACTGTAGTATTATAACTAATACCTTCTTATAAATAAAAGTATTTTTTCTGTTCGCTCATAGTTAGGTTGAAGGTATAAAGCTCCCCAGTAGGGTGACAAGGATTTCTCTGGACTTGTACTGTATTTGGTAACATAATCAGAATGCAGTGTAAAGAACAAAAACTGGTTTAACGCTGAAAGACACTGTCTAACCAAATAGATGTGAAGTTTATCTGATTGAAACAGCTGATCCAGGAATTAAAAAATATAATAATTAGTATTGTACATTATAAGGCTAGATTAAAATATGTCTTTATGGCAAAAGACAAGCATTCACTTTCTTTATTTTGTGTTGTTTTTATTTGGAATTTTTGATTCTGATGTTTTTATGTCCTAGATCAGGGGTCTCAACCACCGGTCCGGGGACCGGTGCTGGTCCATAGGTCATTTGGTACCAGGCTGCACTGGGACACAGTAAAAAATGTACTTCAGTTTTACTAATTTACTTCATTCCAAAAGTATACAGTCATATCCCTTTACTTTTTTCATTCAAAAATAATCTGTCAATGTTTCTAAATGGTCAGATTTGAGATGCCATAGTAATTGGACATCAGGTTTTTAGACCAGATCACTGTTACAATTGTTGTGGAGGAGGCAAATTTGAATTGATCAGAAACAATACAGGCAGTGAAAGATGCTAATCAATAATCAATGAAGGCGGGGTTGAGGACAGCTGTTGTTAATTTCATTGAATAATAAGAGGTATGTGGCAGTGGAGTGTGTGAAGTGTGTGAAGTGAGGCGGTTGGTGGAGGCATTAAGGTCACAATGGATGGTATTTTGGAGATTGATTTCTAAAAACATCTTGTCTCTTTACGTTGCTTAAGTATATTTACACAAACTTTGTTGTCATTTCATTTGCTCTTGTGATCTCGTCTCCTCATATTGTCCAAAAACGAAATGTCCACCATGTTTATTCCATAAATCTTTCATAAGTCTGTGTTAAGCTACTCAGACAGCAGGGGGCGCTGGTATGAGGATAATTGCGCAACCATTTCTTCATCTCCCTCTGTCCAAAGCTTCACCATCTCTTCTCTTTTTGTGACTGTCTTCTGCTTCCCAAGTCCACCCACTTACCCAGCCCCCACTCCACTCCCGCCAGCCGGCACTGCAGAAGAGGCCTCTTGTCTTCCCCAACATCTACGAGGCCTGTCCTCACCCATCCCAGCCTCCCCCCTTTTCTGTATCAGCTGTTGTATTGTCCCAGATCTTGAGCAGACCCTGATCCAGACGACCTCGATCGTGACACACTTTTCTGAGCCTGTAAAGCTCACAATGAATTAATGTTGTGATGGTGACACACATCTTTTTTAACACCAAAACCACCGCATGCGTTTTATTTCTTACCAAAATGTTCAAAAAAATAAACTATCCTATGGGGGGAGCTATAGAGAATACAAAGCTGGATGTTATTACAGTACGTTCCGCCCAACCCCACCCGTTCATATTCTTTCTCTTGTTCTTACATCATTCTCTTCAATTTGCCTCACCCTCCTCCATCCTGGCTCTGTCCATTCTTATTTCCCCCCCCACCTTTTTCTGTGCTGGAGGTCAGGTGAGGCCAATCATCAACTTGACCTTCTGTGACCAGTTTGGACGTCGCGTCCCCCTTTCTGTTAAGCACAAGGCCGTTGATGCCTCGGTGGAGTGAATTTCTTTGTCTCTGACAGAACACACAAGTATAAACCAGAACCTCCTCATCCCTTTTCTCCAGCTGCAGGGGGCGCCAGCATCAACACCAACACAACCTCCAAGCACAGCCATCAGCCCTCCTCCCCCACTTTCTCTCCCACACGACCCTCCTCTGCTGCTTCACCCCCCCCACCCGTCTCCTCCTCCTTCATTCTCACGTCCCTCTCCGACTCCCTTTTTCCCTTCACCTTCCCCTCCTCCTCAGCGCCTCTCCCAACCATTTTGTCTCCCTCCTTCCCTCCCCCTTTGAAAGGCAGTTGGGCTCTCCTTCTGCGCACAGCACTGCAGATGAGACCTCCTCCTCCTCCCCCACAGTCTACCAGGCCTCTACCTCTCTCCTTCAGACTCCCCCACCACTCCTTTCTTCCCTCCCTCACTCCCCTGAACAGCATAGCAACACTGAGTAGCAAGCAAAGGAGAGCCTTCTCCCTCTCTCTCTCTCTAAAGCACTGGGGTAATTTCCCTCCATTTTAGATCCCTCCTCACTGGACATGAGGAGTGTGGACTTTTTAATGAAATTCTGTATTCAACCTGTGCTTGGACCTCACTCTGTTGTCCCACGTTGGTAAAAAGAGGGGGAGTAATCAGGTGTCCTTCCAGTCAGATCTGATTGATTTGAGAGAAGCAAACATCAGGCGCACAGCAAAGGGTTAACCCTGTGAGGTTAAGCTTTTTTTTTTCCTCGCACAAGTTACAACTAAGTAATTAGTGTATGAAAACCAACGTATAAACACATTGTACATTCTGTGATATGTTCTCAAAACACATCATGCTGAGCCAGGTGCTTTCAAGGACCTTTCAGGTCCAATTACATCCGATTCTCAACACATAAAAATCAAATCCCCATTTTAAGAAAATTCTTATGCTGTTGTTATACAAAGGTAAAGTGAGTTAGAGTGGGATTTGTATAATCCCACTCTGGTCTTGCAAGGGTGGAAGAAGGTGAGGAGCTCATTTTTGGTTACCAGGCAATTGCTGCGTAGTCGTGGAACTGGAACTATTTTGGGCCTCTTGCAGACAAAACTCCCTGTAAGCTAACCTCAGCTTCATGTTTGGATTAACTCACACATTGAATATATTATGTATAGAAAATTAAAAGATGTTGCATTGTCAACCATGGTTGCAAAGGAAAACTGTTGGTTTCAGAATACTTTCCCAGACTTATGTAGGTCAAAGAAAATAAAAAAAAGTCCGTCTTTTCCAGAAAGTATTGATCCGATGGTTCATACTGCTTCTGTTTAAGTGCAGAAGAACGACTTAAGATGGGCGCTCTATAAATGGATGATCCAGCTGTCATTCACACGTTTTGTCTACACTGGCATTGGAACACACTTGGGAAAGTGGCACACATCACAATCAGTTAGTGAGAAGCACAATTACAGCACTTTTATTTATAATTGAAAAAGAAAAAGGTAAAACAAATACACACAGATCAAAAAACACATATTTAACAATTCCTCAGGGAGAAAATAGCTTTTCACTTCAGGGGATGCTGATATGGTGCTTAATCACCTTTTGGAGACAAAGGGTTAAGCTAAAATTGTAAAAAAAAAACAAACAAACAAAACAAAAACAAAACAAAAAAAAACTGAATAACGTCAAGGTGAGTGAGTGTGAGGCCGTATAATTTAAGAGGACAGCTCAGATGTACTGGTCTTTCTAAGGAGAATTCAATTCAAATTGGCTCAAGAGAAAAAAAAATCAAACAAAAAAACATTTTTGTTTGTCATTTATATAGAGATATATTATTTTTGTGTAACAAATCATAGTTTTTTTTAAAAATAAACATACATGGGGAAAAAACCAGCCACCTAAGCAACAACAATCATAAAGCATACCAATCTAGAACATATGAGGCTACCTTACACACAGGTAATGGTATATATTTAAACATGAACATGTACATCAAACTTGTCAAAACATCGTCTAAAAGACTGTACAAATTTACACTACCTATCTCTGTAGAACCACATGAAAAATGGTGGACAATCTGGTCAGTCTGAACGCTTCTTCTCAAAACATCTCCCTGTTTTCAGCCAAGCTCAGGAACCCAGTAGTTGACCGGACAACAGCAACTCCATTTTCTATTTAACATTCAGAAAACAGAAGGCAAAAAAACTAACCACTAACCACCTTTTTTAAATTCATTTAACTTCATTGTTGTCACTCTACCTGGTCTCCTACTTGGCGTCAAAACATTTAAACTGTCCACATCTCTACATTAATTCATCAGCTTGCCACATTTCGCCTTTTTAGCTTTGCTGAATGGCTTGTTTTTTTTTTTTTTTTGCTTCCTCTCCTTGTCGGTGTCTACTTGTAACCAAGCAGTGCCTTTTATATAGGTGAGGCAAATCAAAAGTCTTAAATGTCTTTGACTGTGCAAGCTGGTCAGACCTGCTGTTTGCTGAGTGGGGTCCTATCTCTTCTGCTTCTGGCAGATGACGGTACAAATTTAGGTATTATGATGGGCAGCGGGTCTCGCCCTTTAGCAGCCGGTCTTCCTGAGCTCTCTGCAGGCATAAAACCATTCTTTATGTGAGCCCCTTCAAATTCTTCATCTTCATCTTCGTCATCCTCCTCCTCATCATCATCATCATCGTCATCGTCGTCATCATCCTCATCATCATCATCGTCGTCATCTGATAGATCATCCATATCTGAAATAACCTTGTTTTTTATGCTTCGATGCACCTTCTCATTAGGTTTTCGGAGTCGTTTTTTCTGCTGATGCTCTCCACCATCACTGTCCGAGTCAATGGGGATGGGCTCTGAAAGGTCCAAAGGCATTTTTTGTGCTGAGATGCTGATTGTCTTGGTTTGGTCTTTGCTGGCACTGTTAGGTTTGGGGGTGTACGACGTACATTTAGAACCTTCTACTGTCTGTGTTGGCTTCTCTTTTGGTTGTGGAACCACACCACCATTGGCAGCTATAAGGTCCCTGTGTCTCTGTAACGCCTGCTCCGACACGCCAATGCGCGTCTTGGATGTCCGCCTTGTGGTGTGCCGGCTCTCAAATAAGCCTTCGTGGGTTAATGCCAGCTTGTGACTTACTCTGCCCAATTCATGCATGTTGAAGCCAAGCAACACAGTGGCATTTTGGGTTTCACATTCCTGGGTGCACTTTCTTCTGTTGTTACCGAAGTGGCTGGAGATGTCTGACTTCCACAACCAAAGACTGGCCGCTAGCTTTTCAACCTCTCTCTGTGTGGGATATGGCGCTTGGTTAAAGTACATTGTCAAGAAGGTCTTTCTGGACTCGTAGGACTCATGTTCCAGTCCTTTGGGGTCCAGAGCTAGAGTCACAGGTTCATCAGGATCTTCTACAAATTGACCGTTCACATCCCTTGGGTGTGCCTTTTCTCCAGGAGGTCCAGCCCTCCTTCTTTTTGGTGCACTAGTGTTAGAACTGTCAAAGCTGGACCTTTTCAGAGCACTGCTCTGGGCCTGGCTGACACGAGAGGAATGTGCGCGGTTCTCCTGACCGTTTTGAGACTTGCCTACGCCTCGACAGTGCACCAGGTGTAGAGTGATGGTGGAGGCAGTCATGTTACTAGTATATACCCCCAGGCAGTGAATACACTTGTAGGTCAGTTTTTTTTCTACAGGATGGACCGTCTGAATGACCTGGTGCCTGTCTCTCAGGTGGTGAGCCAGTGAGTCTGAGATTGGTCCCTTAAGGATAGAGAAGCAAAGGGGACAAAGCGTCTTACCCACATCTCTTTTGTACGGTACAGAGGCCTGTGGGATACTCCTGACGGACACGCCATCAGCAGAAGCTGAAGAGGTTTTGGACAAGTGCTGAGGCAACGCCTTCTTGCTCGACGTCAAAGACGCAGACAGGGCTGATGACATGGAGCTGCTGTTGATTTGATTTTGGAACGCCATAGACTCCTGAGGCGAGTCTTTCATATTGTAGGTAGTGACAATCAACTGGACATTTTTGGGATTACCCTGTTGCAAAGTTAGATCAAAGGTCAAGGGGGAATCTGTGCGTGGACCTACTGTCTCATCAGGGTGGGAAAATCTCATGTGTGCCACCATCTTCTCTACGTCGTTAAAGGTTGCCCGACAGTGTGGACAAGACAGACCATGGATCAACATGTGGTTTAACAGTGTGTCACTGGGGAGGTAACGGTTGCAGTAAAGACATTTGCTGGTGAAGTTGTGGATCTTCATGATGTAGTTGGCAACAGCAGGCACCTTTTCAGCCTTGTGCTCTTTTTCAAAATGAGCGCTGTACACATTCTCTGGAAAGAGCTCGTTGCAGATGGTGCAGATTTTCCACTTCTGAGTGTAGGACGTACCAAGAACTGAGGATCCGCTTTTCTTGGCTGTAAGTGAGGCTACAGTAGTAGCTGCTGCCTGGACACGTGAACCCAGAGGGTTGGATTTAAGTGAAGAAGAAGCGTTCAACACAACTGGATTCCGTATGCTGCTGCCTGAAATAAGCTGCTTTGCTGCATGCGACTGTTGTGGCACAGCAACCTGAGCATTCCCTGGTAAACTAACCCTCACTTGCTGAGTGCCGACTGAGAATGACTGGGTTGTCCCCGCCTTCAACCCCACTGTATCATGTTTCATCCCAGCCAGAAGATTGTGGGCGTTGATGCCCATCTTTGACGCCATAACCCGATTTAGCTGTGAACCAGGGGTCCTGGTACTGGCCATTACTGCACCCTTAGGGCCCATACCAATAATGGTCCTGTCTCCTATAGTTTTGGGAGGGACCATTAGTATGGGTTTGGGACGGGGGACTATCACACTGGTGTGTCCAATCATAGCGGTCACTTGGTAGCCAATGCGTTCATGGTCCTCAATGACATGTTGAACCAATGCCTCGTATGTTCTGGGAACGAACAGACACTTTTTGCAGTGAATCTGATTACTGTTGACATAGTTTGAGTTATGACTCTCTGTAATCCCTGTAGCTCCATTTTGGGCATTTGTCTTGTCTCCTGGCTTCACAATATAGGGCTGAGCCACTTGCTGGAAGTGTTCCCGGTAGATGTGCTTTCGCACTACATTGTACAAAGGGTCTCTGTAGGTACACTTCTTGCAGTAATACACAGCTTGTTCTACACTGTCGCCGCTTCGCTTTAGCAATCCATCCTTCAACATAACCCCACCAGATCCTGGCACCATACCACCAGGACTCTGCCGCATGTTGTTGTTGGGCATATGGAAAAGCTTGATGTGTGTTTCCAGAGTCTTTTTGTTGCCATTGTAAGTGCAGTAGGGACAGTTGAGTAGAATGTTGTTCTCAAAGTCTTCACTGTGGACGTTACGGAAGTGGCTCTTGTAGGCAGAGAAGTACTTGGATGAAAAGACACAGCCCGAGCAGCAGAAAGGCTTAGATCTGTAGTCCTGTGGACACAGAAGTAACACGTTAATTGGGTGAAACACTTAAAACAATCATCAGCTCAATACTCATATCTACCAATCACATTACTGAGAACAGATGTTAATACCTGAAACATCAGAAATCCTTTCTGACAAACAATTGTGTATATTAATTTGAGCACGTAGTGTTGTGTGAGTAACAGAGAAGAAACACACCTGGACTTTGGTATGCGATGGTTCCCACATGCATACATCTTCCCAGGATGTGTGCTTTATATAGACCTCTGGAGGAGTGAAGTCTTTATAGTCCTGAAGCAGAAGAAAATTAATTTAATGAGGCAAAAGCACATTTTGGTGCATGAAATAATTTGACTTTTTCTTTGGGCTGATGGATAAACTCATACATATACACAAACACAGATACACACACTTAATGGGGATTCATGGTAATCCATGGTTGTACTGCAGCTCAACAAAAGATGATTGGATTGCCATAAAAACAGGATGGTTCTGTCTCTTTAAATTCACTAAATTGTCCTTATCAGCAAAAAGGTACAAAGCCAACGCAACCAAAAAATGTTTTATTCCACTCTGTTGCAATTCAGCAAATGTAACACCTAGCTGCCTTTGTGCCAATGGTGTGTGTGAATACACTACAGTGGTGGAGGATATATCACCTTGTGTGAGTCAACACTGAATCCTGCACATTGTGCTTGATCAGGACACCTTGCCAGGAGTGTAAGAAAGTCCATTAATGAAACAATTAAACGACTGATAACAAGGACTCAACTACTGCTTGGGGGCACGGCGGCGCTCTGATGAAAATGTGTGCTAATTAAAATTTAGAAGAATGCAACCTTTCAGGAAGAAAACTAAAAATCGAATGACAGCCTGAGCACACATTGAGCCAACATTTACGAACAACCATCAACATTTTTAATTCAGGTCTCTAAAGTTTCCAATGTCATGCCTACATGAATCTCACACTTTTACAATTTACAGTTCTACAAAAGTGTGAACACTTCAGAAAAAAAATTAACACAGAATAAGTACAATGTGTTGTTCCCAAATATGACCTGAAACAAATATTTCTTTCACACTGAGTAAGATGAACCGAAAATGTGTCCATGGGAGACAATCACATAATACTGAAGGCACATCAAATCTATACATGTGACATTGCTGTTGCATGTCTCTTTTGCTGCATTTTTTACTTACAATAGAATTGGATTAAGGGAAGTGAAACACACCTGTCCCAAAGAAAGATGCTGATGACAAATCTCTTTTTGGCCACCCTTAAAATTTGAATTCCCTCTTAAAACAATCACATTTTGGAGCCTCACGATACAAATTGTAAAAAAAATAAAAAAATGCAAATCAATAGCAGCATAAACAGAGTGGTTTCTAAAACCATTTTTTTTATAAATGATTTATTCAAAAATCCGATGAAGGAAGCTTCATGAAACAGCTGACTGCTGCTGTGCATCTGCATCTGTTGTGTTGTGTTTCAGAACAAACCTTTTGTTTTCAATCTCACACAGTTAGGGATTTTTTCCCCAGAGAAACAATAACTGGTAATGTCTGGGTTTTCATAGCCAATGCCAATATGACAGACAATAATTTAATTTTTTTTCCTTAAGAAATAATGATACAACCAATTTTCAATGTTGACCAGATGTTAACAAATGTGCAGATGTACAGTAGGTCTCATCACAATACAACAATTCCAATTCTTTTCAACAGTGAACCTTTGTAAACAAACAAAAGATGTATGCAGCCACACTGTGATAATGTGGTAAATAGTAATAACAGAGCAAATTCATTGACCCAATCAAATTTAACTGCATCTTAAAGCTTTAGTGAAAGTGGAAAAGTGAAAGTGAATTACTTTTTGTGACACAGTGGTGTGACACAGCACACCACTGTACACAACGAAATGTGACCTCTGCATTTTACCCATCACCATAGTGAGCAGGGGGCAGCTTTAAGCGCCCGGGGACTAGTGTGTGGGGACAGTACCTCAGTGGCAACTTGGCAGCTGGTGGATTCAAACCTGAATCCACCAGCTGCCAACCTTCAAACCTTCCGGAACCAGTCCATTTCCTTAACCACCAAGCCACCACTGCCCCAGACAGCCTTTACAGCAATAAACGTAGCACAGCAGAGTACCGCAATGAAACACTGATCTACGAACCATGTTTTCAACATGACTAACTCTAACTGGTGACTGTCCAGTTAGTACACATCCTGCTGGTTTTTCAAGCCAATTATTTTGGACATGAATTGTGTCGGAGGTCAGGAGAGAGGAAACACACATTCACAAGCTGGAACTAGTATGTCGTTAGTTTGGGAGGACTTTACAGTGAGCCAAGAAAGTTCCAAGCTCTATTTGTAACAGTAACGTTAACCATAGAAGGGGCAACGTGAATTTGAAAGAATACCAATAATCTGACACTTAAAACACTAGCTTAACATGACCAGCCACAGCAAAACAATTGCAATTGATCTGTAGTGTAGCCAAACACGCAAATAGTTGGATGGATTGTCAGTTCTAGAAATAAAGAGCCTAAAACTGAGATATTACTTTTTACCAAGGCCTATCACTATCACTTGCGAAATTACACTTTTCACACACCTGTTGAATAAAAACATCCACGCTCCGTTTCATTTAACCTTGCCAGTTGCCGGCTGGTGTACGACTGTTGTCATCTAGACTGGTGGTGACATGTTGTGCTAGCTGCAAATGGCTCTGAAGCAGCCCTGTATTATATCAGCTTTAGAAAAAATCTGCTTTGTCATTGTTCTACTTAGTAGGCACATATACACACAATGAAATTTGTCAACTACATTTAATCCATCCACCCATCCCTGGGGAGCACTGATCACTTTTGGAAGCACTTGGGAAGCAAAGGAATTGGTGCTTGCTCAACAAACCACAGGCGGTCGTGGGCGGGATTTAAAATATCGACCCTCTGATAACAAGCTCAACCCTCTTACCACATGGGCACAGACTAGCCAACGATGTTGGGAGCGCAAGGACACTGGCGGCTGTCTGCTCAGTGCATGTATGACTCAGTGTTGGAAGCTTGCATGCATTTATCAGTCAATTTATGAACTTGCATTACATTATGAGCTCCATTACAACTCGCGAGGGGGAAAAAAAACCCATCTTAAATGAATTTAATAAAGGTTTAACACCAATGTTAGTGTTAGACTGGCTGTATTAATCATCAAATTTATCGAATTTCATTTGAGCATGCAATTAAACTGAATTGTGATTCACACCATGTATTCTTCATAAGACTAAGGTATTGGCCAAAATGCAGATCGGTGTGGGTGAAGTTCTGACCTCTAGATGATCCCTGCAGAACTCCAGGCCGATGTCTCCCAGAACCTTCTTCACATTTCTCCTTGCTTTCCGCAGGCTACCCAGGTTATTGACAGGGAGCTGGAACATTCTGCCCACCCTAAAAGACACAAAACACATGCGATCAACAGGTGTGTGGACAGAACAGGGAACAAGCATATGTGTACTGAACAGCCATCAGAGCAGGTCACAGGGATGGCAGGCTTTGACTTTGAACATCAGTTTTGTTTTATCTTGGTAACTAACAATTTAATTTAAAGGATTTTCGAGCAAACAAGAGGATAACCTGAGCTGTGAAAAACACTCATTGCAGACTATGCAGTGAACAGTAACTCACATACATCAATATCATGTTAGTTGCAGCAAGTAAATACTGAGAGCGTTCATTGTAGTGATTCAGTTTATACTGCTGAGGAGCAGAGCGACGTGAACAAGTTTAGAGGAGACACCCGTAACCATGGGAACTATACACAAAGATGATCAGAGCTGCGGCAAACATAAAACGGTTGTACTAAGACTTTGACACTAAAACTATCACGAAGAACACAGAAGAAAAGAATGCTACTGATTTTTTAGCTCTAGTAGCAGAGACACACATTTATGTCAGGGGATTCGCACATTCTAACTGACTGATACACTGTAGTGGCAACACAAACACTAACCCAGTATACATACCACACAGCAAGGTAAAACTGATAGAATATTATAACACATATCATAACAACGTTTACTATGTCTTTTTTTTCTTTTAGATTTACACTTCCATTATTGGGTCACCTTTTTAAGCGCTTTACACTGCAATAACAGTGGAGACAGGTGTGTTTATTTCTAATATTGACCCTCCTCAGGCCCTTGTATAAACAGCTTCAAAATCAACAACTTTTAAATTGCACAAGTTATAAACCAAGGCTCAGTAGATGGTTTTGATTTTCATTATTTTTGTGAGAAGAAAAAAACAAGTGACTAAATCATAGCCTAAATTAACTCGTCACATTAACCGGTCAAAGGTCACGTTAATGCCAATGACATCAAGGCCAATCGTTTACAGTAAACAGACCTGCTCCAAGTAGTTCCCTTTAACAACTGAGCTCCTGGATATCACAAGATAGAAAAAAGGGGGTGAGGTGAGTGGATGTGGGGGGTGAGGGTCAGATGGTGAACTCCAGAGAACTGCCACACTGTTGGTGAAAAATGTCATGTGAGTGACTCTCTCTCCCTACTTCCCCTTCCCTGTTGTTTTTGCTTACTACTTAGATGGCGCTAGAGAGAAGGCCCATTATATAAGCCTTTCTGCACTCCCTAGCATGCTTCGTTTTTTTTTCTCCCAATGCCATCTCAGAATGGCGCCTCCTATTGAGTCAGTAGCTGCCTCTACAATATTTCTGCAGTGAAGGGGGAGGGGAAGAATAAGGGGTGGGACATAAGGGAGAAAGGAGAGAGATAGTGAGTTAGTGAGCGAGAGAGAGATAAAGAGACAGAATGGGAGGGAGAAGGAGAGGGAGAGAGAGACAGAGAGAGGGAGACATAGATGAGAGAGTGAGGATGAGGGTAAGGGGGTGGGAGAGCTAGGGAGGAATAGGAGAGAGGGTGGATGGGTGAGTGAGTGAGTGAGAACAAGCAAGGGGAGGAGTGTGAAGAAAGGGGTGAGAGAGAGACGGAAGTGAAGGGGGGTGGGGAGGCAGGGAGGTCAGGCAGACATACTCAGAGGAGGGAGTTAGGGAGGGATGGGGGAGAAAAGAAGAAGGAGGGGGGAGAGGCCTAGGCAAGGAGGGGGACAGGGAGGTATAAAACAGAAGAGGGTGAGGGAAAGGGGGGGTGAATGTGTTCACAGGGGAGGGTTGTGAGAGGGTGAGAGGAAAAAAGGAGGGAGTATGGGTGGGGGGGCAAGGAAAGCAGAGCAGGATGGAAGGGAGGGAGAGAAGGAAAAGGAGAGGGAGGAAAGGCGATAGGAGGCTGCTGTGCTCAGCTAAGCCGAGGGCTGCTGGCAGAAAACAGGTTTCTCTATCTTCTACATTTGTGGTGAAAGAGAAACAACAGGGGAGGCCGAGGAAAACCTTCAACCACTGACACAGTCCTCGTCCACTGGGACACTGTAACTGTGTCCAAGTTACAGATGTTTATGCTTTTTCTTACATGTGTGCATCGTGTTCACCAGCGATCAAAACAATAGGTGACAATATTTTGCACAAAAGCCTTCGTGCCACCATTCATTTACTACATTGTTTCCACCTCTGTGCTGGGATTCTTGACAAAACATTGCCTGAAATGAGCCATTAATGCAGTTTTCTTGACTGTTTGGTGGTAAAACTATTTTAAAATGGCAGAAGGGTTTTAGATTCCCATGTTTCCAATGGAAAGACCAAACAGATCAATGAGGTAATATGAGGGTAATGGTGGTAAAACCGGACTTAAAACAATGTAGGACCCTACTGAAGGACATTTTCAAGAAACACACAAACTTCACTGAACCAGGTTTGGATCGGTCGAATGATAGTCAGAGAAAAAAAGTCTGAAAAAAATAAATAAATAAAACATTGGCAGTTCCAATTATTTAGACTCTGCAATACAACTGAGAAAAAAAATCCAAGGCCATTTGCCTTTCTTCTAGCATGCAGCTCTGTGAACTGCAGTTTGTGGTTTTCTATTTTAATGCATTTATTGGTAGATTACAGTCGCAATGGTCTTGTTGTGGCTGACATAGCTGAGAGAGGCCCAATAGACCACTGCTGTATCAAGGTAGCATTTTAGGTTGAATTGGCCTGATACCATATGATGAAAAAACAACAACAGACCCACTTTTTCTAACTCCATAATACCATTCTGCATAGATACATTCAGCTTGCAACTGATCAACATTCTGCATAGGGACCATTACTGGTTTTAATGAGCCAAACCCCAATAATAGAGGTTTAGGTTAAAGTTAGGGCTTACTACGATTAGGCATTACTTAAAGTTATGTTTAGTTCACAGCAGGATACCAACCACAATAGCTGTGCAGACCTTGTGGTTGTGTTTGATCTTGTGTAACATCGACACAATGTTTACCATCCAACTGGCACTCAGACTCTGATGAGTGTAATAGGCACAATGCTGACTTACTGTCACCTAGGCAAGCTCAAATCACATCTGAACGGTCGATTATTAAATTAGAAATCAATAAGTGGTTTGGATAATAAAACCAAACACTACATCACTGTATTGGTGATTAACAACAATTGACCGAGAGGCATCAAGATGTCGGGCACAATTCAAATGACACTCATCATCAGCCTGATACAGATCAAAAACCCTGAAGCAAATGTAAACTGCCGAAATCCAATGAAATATGGAAACGCTGTAATGTCATTAAAGAATTGCTCAGCACATAATTAACTCCTGCTACTGTGTGGTCATGAGTGGTAAGTACGGCATCTGTTGTTGACACTACAGTTTTGAAACAGTGAACATAATGGAGTATTTAATGAAACAAAAATCTCCAACATTATCATGAAAAATATGATGAAGGCCAGGTTGTACTTGGACCTGAAATATGATGGTAGATTTTTCAATTAAGAACCAAAAGCAAGTGTTCTATCACCCAACAAAGTCAGAGTTCTAACACCTACTGGGGTATGCCAGAGACTGAAAATACAATCCAGGACAATGTGCTTTGTGCACATCTTGAGCTTAGATCCTTTATGACCTATTAGCAAAAAAAAATACAGTGATGCTATGTTGTTTTGCTTTTCAGCAAACACATCTAAATGTCTTTTTTATGAATAAGTAGATTGATAGGACTGTAAATTGATTTTAGCAACCTAATAATAAAGGTCTGTGTCTGCAAAGAGGAAGGATAACCTGCAAACGTCCTCTGGCTAACTGTTTAAGCACCAGCTCTATTAAAGGTAGGGATGCTTAATTATCATAGTTTTCAGTGGGTTTACTGAAAACAGTATCGATCTGAAATGTTTGATTTTGCTTACAAACCAACATTATTTGGTACACTTTCAGAAGAGCATAATAAATAAATAATCTAACATCTGTACATTATATTTCATTGTTCAAAGAAGACTCTGAGATGGTTTAAATATGATAAGATTTTCTCTGTAGATCCAGCATGTCATGTCACAATCATTTGATCTGGACTTCTGTAAAAACTGACAGCTCAGACATTTAATCTGTAAACATGGGATATGAAGAATTGTGGAGTGAACTGAATGTAGACCATGTTACCAATACCAAGACCGGTCTCGAACGCAAACGGGTACAAATAATAAACCCAAAGACTCTATAGCCATTCCTTTGGCAGGAAACTGCTGCTGACAAAGACTAGGAGGCAGTTAGCATGCTAGGCTAACAACTCAATGGAAAATTAACCTATATTATTGTTCAAATAATACACGAATCCCTTGTAAGTAACCACATTCCTTGAAAAACACAGTGCTTTGGAACAATCCAACTCTCTTTAAATGAGTCGTTAAACTTGAGTTCACTGTGAGGCTCCATCCAAACAGAACGTTAGCGGTGTTAGCAACCAAAGTTCTCCGCAGCCGCTAATTTATCTCGAGCTGTAGGTCAGCATGTAACCGGGAACTAACACTCGTCGTAATGCACCGCAGAAACAAACAACCGGGCAAGTTTTTACCTGCTTTTATGTCCAAAACGCTCCCGCCCGGTCTAAATGTGTCACCTCAGGATGATTGCACTATCGGTGACTCTCCTTCGTTTGTTTTTTCAGAAAATATTAATCCAGTTTTCGACGGGAAAGACCCGTCTTTTTCTGTAAGAAACGTTATAACCCCTCTTCTCTTCTGTCCTCTTCCCCGTGGTCGGCACTCAGACACAGAGAGCTTCATTAGACAGTCACCACCTCCATTCCGCGGAGCGCCGAGGGCGGACACACATTCTGCCCCACTGACTGACTGACAAAGGGGGCGGCAACTAAGGCAGCGCAGCCGGTCTTTCACATAAGACGCCGAAAATTGCCTGTTTTTGCGGCCACAGCCTGAAAACCGTTGCCCTCTCTGACAGTCGAGACGCACATCCAGCACTGGCAAACTGCCTTCTCCAAAATGGCGCAAATAAAAGGACCGGAAGTTACGTCTACATGATTAGCATAAAGACTCTCATTGTGAAAGAACCTCGCGAGCCCGGCTCGTCAATTAAAGCTTCTGATTGGTTAACTTTGAGCCAATTAAGTGGATGTAGATAAGGATTAATAATTTGTTATTTGGTCATTTTAAAGTCTGTACACAAACGTCGTTTCCTCATAGCGTTCTCTGTGGGGTAAACAACCCAGTGTCCCAGTAGTTGCATGAAATGTCCGCCAGCGGGCGTCATACTGATGAGGTTAGATTGACGCACATGCGCATTTGGACTCCACCCTTCCCACCTCCTTAACGTCCTCCTTGCAGTTAAATACCAGAGGGTCGGATGTGCACAGTGCCTCAGTTCAGTACAGAACGGATGTGCTATAAACGGTTGGTGGCGCTGTGCCGTTTAAAGAAACAGACCGGAACTACTTTCCTGCACTAGTTCCTCAGGAGGTGGAGGAAGAGTGAGCTCTGCATTAACCTAACACTAGTATCCAGGAACTGAAATTATTTTTTACATCTCACATGGGGCATTTAAAACAAATGGTGCTGTGAGCCCAGCATTGATTTATAATAATCACACATTCAAGAATCTTTAAAGGATGTGTGAAAAACCGAAAACCTATAAAAGGGTTTTTATAGTGTCTTAAAAAAAGAGTTGACCAGTTTGTATCAATAAAAAGTATGTATTGTTTCCATGTATCAGCAGTCAATGGGCCACACCGTAGAAGACAGGTTAGTTCTCTTGCCTATCAGCAAAAATACTCTGGTGTTCTTCCTTTGTTGTGTCCATGTATTTTCTCCTATAGTCCAGAAACGTGAAGGATAACGTTAATGGACGCCTTTGACTGACTACAGTGAGTGAAAGTGTGAACAGTTCTTTGTCTAACTGCCCTCGCATCACCCCCTGCTACAATGGCTCCACCGTTGAATAATCCCCTCATCCCACCAGCTCTTCACCCTGACCACAATTAAAATAATGGATTTTGACCATATAAATGAATGAATAAATAAAACTGTTAGACACTCAACAAGCGCATAACCACAAGTTATAAAACTTTTATTCTTATACAAACAATAACAGCTGTAGCAGGTGATTTTAAACCTTTATCCTGGACTCAGACGTCTGAGCACTACACTACAGACACGAAATAGACATGTTATTGGAAATCAAATTCTAAGTGGAGCTAACTACTTCTACTGTACACTGTAGGACCTGGTGGTCTGGTCATGTTGTGGCAAAAAGTACAAGCAGTCCTTTTACAAATGACAGGATCTCATTCCCGCCCAGTTTGGACTCTCCGTAAACTCGATCGACAAAGGAAATAGGAACCTGTTTGGAGAAGAAGAGAAGAAAAAGACAGAACGTTGACCTTTCTCCTTGTCATACATAGTTGACTAACACTGTATGTTACTTGTTTAAGCTACAAGCTCAAACAACCACTCCGGTGTTTATGGAGATTAATATGAGTTTAAAAAAATGAATTTTGGTCTTACTTCTCCCACTGAGTAGTTGAGCTGTCGGGCACGGACAATCATCTCCATTTGAAAGACGTAGCCTTTGGACACACATCGCTCCACCAGGTTCTCCAGCACCTCCTTCTTATACAGTCTAGAATGGATGAAGCAGCAGATGCCTGAGGTAACACACACCGTTTCTCCAGTGTTTGAGTATTCACAGAAAACGTTCAACACCTCATACCTGAAACTTCCTGTCAGGTCTGAAGCATTAGGTCTCAGCAACACCTGCGTCAGGAAGTTTGCTCCCCGGCTTTAATTAAGAGATAAAAAAGAGAATATAAATCAACCTTCAGTTCCTTTCCTGATGGAAGAATGTTTTTAAATATCACGTTTTTGATTTTAACTCATCTTAGAACCGCTAAGACATTTAAGAGGATTAAAAAAACAGCAACAATTCTGAAACAACAACATACACTGATCACATCCATAACCTGAAGAAAAGAAAATAGTTTTTCTAGTATGGTCTTTGTCAGCTTTAATGTCTAACGTGACATAAAAAGTGAGGACATTACAAGTTTTTTTTGCCAGGTTTTACCCTGCAGTTGAGCAAAGTCTGCCCCAGTCCGGGGGAGTCCATGATTTGCTGGCACATGAAATAGTATGGTTAAAGGTTAGAATGTGTAAGAGGAAGAAACACACTCAACCCGACCTCGGAGCAGAGAGTCAAATATGCTTGAGGTGAACCTGGAAGCAATCCTGTTGTAAACATGTGCTGCAAACAGCCAATGAAAAACAAGGGTGGGACGATTGGGAAAATTGTGTGAACTTAATTTTTCTGCTTCTATTATCAATATCACTTATGGATCTTTGGATGAATCCATGGAGTTGCTTCATTTTATTTTGCTTTTATTTATTCTCCAGCGATTACAAGTGTAGCTCCCACTGTTCCAGATTCAGTAACCTGATGTTAACCTTTCACTCGCCACACAAACATCTGCTGTAAATAGTCTCTCGGTGTTTACACAAAGTCTGTTCACAAATCCGTGAACGTTGTGGAGAGTGTCAACAGCTTCAGGATGAGAGTGCAAACCTGATGAGTTTTCTGCGCAGGTCCCAGCCGTACACGCCTCCGTTGCCTCTGTATCGTGTGCCAGATACCAGGTCATAGTTTCCCTCCTTTTGTTTCCTAACAAATGAAAAAAAAGAGTCAAGTATTTAAAAAAAAAACTCACATGGTCACGGGGATAAAAGTGTTTAAATTTAGAAGCACTTACTGAATAAATTCTGGAATAAATTTTGGCTGTAAAAAAAGAGAGAATAATGAACAAAAATCATTATCTGAAATGATTCTATGGAGACATAACCTGCAATTCAGCTAAAGAGGGTTTGTTTTATAGATTTAGATCATGGCTAAATCAAAGCAACACATTTTTATAATCACATTACAAGCTTGTTTAATGTTGTTTTATTATTTACTAATGTCAGATTAAAGGAGGTTCAGTTTTTTTTTTAATGAGGAAGCAGTGCAAACACATACACCACAAAGAGCCAAACAGGAAAACCTAGCTGCCAGGAGGAAGCTGCTTAGTAATAACTAGTGAACCAGGTATAGGTTTCCTCACACTCTTACACAATCAGCCGGGACTCTTGTTTGTGTAGCTTTTTTAACCCTGGGACAGGTGAACAGAAGTCCATAGAATAAATCAGTGTTTTTGAGTTCATGGGTTCACAGAAGCTTCTGCTCTATACTGCTGCTGATGTTGCTGCTGTTGTGTGTGTGTGTGTGTGTGGACTGCACTGAATACAGGAATCCAAATGATGTATTTCAGACATGCTGTTGCCAAACAACACATTTGAACTTGGTGATGGAGCGAGGGTTGCTTCTGGTTGCTAAGATATACAGTATATAAAGAACAGATTTATTCAGTGGACTTTGGTAAAGAATAGTAGACAGTGACAAAATGTCACAAACTTCAGGTGAAAAGAGCCATTTGGTAAGACGGACAAAAGTCACGCCTTGACTTTAAATGACTGTTTAGTACAGTGGCTCCCAGCTTTTTTGGCTTGTGACCCCATTTTGGCGTCACAAATTTCTGTCAACCCTGGAGACATTTTAGTAGCTGTCACTTGTGATCGCAGCCATCAATCAAGATTTGCCTGCTCAGCTAGTTTTGTATACAGTTCTTTAAGAAGAAGAAGAAGAATATTTAGTTGGAAACACAATTGTATCAGTATATTTTTTTCAATTACTAGACATTTCAGGCGACCCCATTTGAATTCCACAAGACCCCACAAGGGGGCCACAACCCCAAGGTTGAAAAAAGTGAACAGCATCGTAAAATTACGTTATTCTGTTTATATTGATTTTTTTCTAAATACGGATATTTAAAAATTACACCATCATAAGCTTTAACCCTTTACAAACCAAACATGGGAACGTCTGACAAATACAGCCAGTGCACCCATAACAAAATCAGTTCCACTCACATGATGGGAAAGATCTGCATCCATAATGAAGATGAAATTCCCAGTTGCATGTTTAACGCCGTGAATGTAGGCAGTGCCTTGAAAGGGACAGAATTCAATTAGTGGTCGACAGAGAGAAACAAAAAGCACTGCAACGAATTGTATCCATGTCCTTACCTAGGCCTAACTTTTTTGCTCTGGGTCGTAGAAGCTAAAACAAACAAACAAAGAACAGGTAAGTTTCAACAAATATGACACACAGTTAGCAGGGATAGCTGTGATCCTCACAACTAAATGGGAAAAACTATTCGCTTTCCCATTGGAATGGTCAAATAACTTACTATTCTGTCCTGTCCGTATATTCTCTGCAGCTGCTCTGCCACCTCCAGTGTGCCGTCTGGACTCCCGTCATCAATGATGATTACCTCATAGTTATGCCCACTGTAAACACAGTCAAAATCAGCACCTTATTAAAAATAATGATTAAAATTAAAAGCTAGCAGATAAAGAAACGGTTAACTCGTAGTTTTTAAATCATGGCAGAAAATACTTTGTTTTGCTGAGACATTATTTAGAGAGGGGTTTGATCACCGTTCAAACTATGAGCTCAATTAGTCCCACAGGACTGCACTTAAATCCTACTTGATTTTGGCAGCTGTTCTGAAAAGATGTGAAAATGTCATTGTCAAATATTAGGATAGATTTAGAACTTAATTGGAAACACTGATTTTAAAAGGTTAACCCGTATTATTTATTTACTGACAAAAGGGCGTTGAAGATTTTCAAAGCTAGAGATTTTATGGGATCATAAATAAGAATTCCGCCCTGCTCTGATGTCTGCTGGGACTGACTCCAGTTTCCACAGACCCTGAAAACTATTTGGCACTAGAAGACGAAAATAAAAAAAACAAGAGTACAATGGTAAACAGGAATGTCAGAAATTAGTTGTGCATCGCAGCAACTAATTCCAATTGTTTTATAAGTGCAGCAGGAGTCAGTTAAATGGGGCTGTCAAGTCTACAGCATATTTTAATTCACAGTACGTCACGTAAGGCAGACTTTTTGCCATTCGTCCGCCACGCCATTACTGTATATACGTAGAATCCTACAGCTGCAGTCATTGTTGGCTTTAGTTTTTGAATGAGACTAAGCTTGTGTTTTACAGCTTGTTGGCTTTAGTTTTTGAATGAGACTTAATGTAATGAGACTTAATGTAATTACGGTTTGAGATATATTTGACGGCTACCTAACATACAGTAAGCTACCGGAAAAAGAGAACAACAAAATGCAAACTCAATCTTGTGAACAGTAAAACTTTATGTGACATTATTAAACAACATATTTATAGCAACTTAATAAATTAAATTTATATTTAATGTATTGACGTAAACTAAAATGTATACGTTTATTGCACGGGGCTGGTGAGGTGAAAGGTATTCCATTAATTCCATTGCATACAACTTCACCGGCTGGTGAGGTGAAAGGTATTCCATTACTGCATACAACTTCACAACAACTTCACTGCATACAACTTCGTGCTAAATGAATGTTCCTTTAAAAAAAAAACCCCGACCGCCTACATATATTTTATTAACGTAAGAACGGTTTGTTTTCCACCCAGAACATGTATATAAGTACTGTACACTATGTAGTGTTTGGGTTCATGCTGAGTGACAGCTCATCACTGAGTCAGGCTTTACTTACAACAGCTTACATTAGCATTAGCCACACTGCTAAATAACAATATGCTCTGAGCTCACCTTTCTCCAAAATATTTCACCAGCAGCCAAACTATCAGTGGAAGGTTTTCTCGTTCGTTGTATGTCGGCAGTAACACTGAATATTTATCCCCATTTTCCCGGATGCGGTGCGACGTTTTCCTGCTCGCCATGATTTTTTTTTAGCAGGAAACCATAACTTGTATTGCAGTACACGTAACTTCCGGTTAAAACTTTCAAAATTAGGGTCGGACTGTAAACGTAAACCGAACCATAAACGTTTCGACTAATCCATTTTAATCACTTACATACACACTCTATTGTTGAAACAAATGTAGACATTTTCTTATCAATAATGACACAATACATATAATTTATGACATCTCATCCCCAGCCACACGGCTGAGTGAACTCTTGGCACTGGTACGATACTTCAAATATTGATTTATTAACACCATTACTCACACTAACTCTTTCACCACATGACCTTTGAATTAAATAAATATTATTTTTTATTATTATATTTGGATAATCAATTTGGTAAGAGTAGAACATACAGACAGTAAGTAGAACTGGCATTTACACAATGTTTCTGTTTTGATCTATTTTTATATTCTATTTATATTTCATAAATTTCATTATATTCTATGTACATCTTTGTTTTCACTTTTGTCAAGGAGTGTCTGTAATGTCAACAATTTCCCTCAGGGAATGAAAAAAGTAATTTGATTATGATTCCAAAACACCAAATTGTTTACTCCATTGTTTATCATTAATTAAAATATCTTTGTGCTGCTATAGAACTATAGAATGACAAGACAAAAAAGTTACTTATTTGGACACATTATTGAAACTTTAATAACAAAGTTGGAAAAATGTATGTACACACAAATAGCCATTTACACACAGCTCTCTCACACACGCATGTTTGTATACACACACACACACAAACTAAGGTACATAATAAAAATGTAAACCAGGATGATTTTCAATATGCATGTACAAAGTAGGGAATATCATAACATGATCATAATATATAATATAAAAAATATGAAATATACAAATTATGATACACATGGGAACAGACTTTCTCACAGCTTCTTTTTTTTGACCATGGAACAAAGTGGAACTTTTACACCATGGGTTTATTTCATGATGCTTGAGGCAGATCAGGTTAGACAGGAGCCCAAAGTTAACTATAGTCATGGATACAGTGCATAAAGAACAATAACATGGTAACAAAAGTTGTTACAAACTACTTTACTCTGTTGTACACACTGGGGAAATCATTTGCGATACTACCTTTTCAGTTTAAATACTGATCTATTTTTGCAAAATATCAACATCAGAAAAGGAGCTACTTCCTGTTTATTGTTTTATGTCCTTTTTTCATGTAAGGAGTCAGTTAGTCGGACACCGACACTCTCTAGTGGTGCTGTTTTCAGCTGCACTCTTTCAGTCAGTTGTTCAGCTCCAGTTGAAGCTCAGTCATTTCAGACAGAACCGTCTGTCTGCTCCTTCACGCCCTCTCAAGGCTCGTAGCCGTAATACTCTTCCTCGGGGTAAGCTGAGAAAAACAAAACAACAGTCAACGGACATCTCAAAAGGAAAAGCTCACATAAGAAGCAGCAGTTCACCTGGTTGTTGGGGAACACCCTGGCAGCCTCTGCTGCTGTCGCAAACGCCCGGTGGTCCAATCTCGCCTGCTTGTCCAGAAGCTCCGAGGCCTCCTGGAGGTCCTGGTGTGCCATCATCTCCTCTAGAACCTGGAGGTCCAAGTCTGGACTCACCTGGTGGACCTGAATAAACACGTAGTAATGAAGAATTACTGAAGATCTCAGCCACATGTTAGCACTAGTCCACGTCCATTAGAAACAGCGAAAGTCCATCGGAGCCATTGGTTTATACTTCAACAGATGCCGAAGCGTTATTTTTGACTCAACTCAATGACAAACCTAAAAATGCCAACAGGTGACCAGCAGCTCCTGCAGGACTACATAGAAGTATCCCCATATAACACCAATCCACGAATGAAACCAATGATTCATAAAATATTACCTGCGTAACCTTTGATCCCTGGCGACCCCTGGACATTGGTCCCTCCATCACCTTTCTCCCCAATTTTACCTCGCTGTCCTGTAAAAGAGCAAAAGAAAGGATGATAAAAACCGAAATGCAGAGTCAGAGTTTATAAAGAACTGTTCCATACCTTTTTGGGGTTTTTTTTTAGCTTTTTTCCATTTACAAAAATCTCACCCTGTTCTCCTGGATAACCAGGCCTCCCAAGTCTCCCCCTGGGACCAACTTGTCCTTGGGTTCCTCTGGCACCTGGTGGACCCTTTGGTCCTGGTATACCTGGTTCTCCTGGGGGTCCCACGGGCTCCTCGATTGGAGCCGGCTTACGACTTATCTCGTTGATAAACTTGTCGAGCTTCAAGACCTCCTCTGAACAAAGCAAGACGACCGGTGTTAGTGTGTTAGGGTTCAATTCCACGACACAGCTGAATGACTGTTGACTCACTGTGTACAAGTTGTTCACAGGCCTGAGTGACCAGCTGGTAGATGATGCTCATAGACTGAGGCTCCCCCTGTTGAACACCAATAGAAGTCACAGTAAATATTAGGGACATCTGTAGTAAAAAAAAAAAAAAAAAGAAGGGTAAAAATATAAACTTACCTTCTCACCTCGTTCCCCTTTACTGCCTGATAGGCCCTGAAAAATCAGAACAGAGAGAAGAGTTCATGGTCTCTGTCACTTCTGTCTGCTGAAATAGACCACAGTGTCCATTTTTGACAGCAGAATGACAGCACATAAAAGTGACAAAAGGTGCTGTCATTTGTCCCTTTGGTCTCACCGTAGGTCCCACCAGTCCTGCAGGCCCCCTTTCTCCAATTTGCCCAGGATAACCTGGCATTCCCTGGAAACCCTGAGGGAAAACGTAAAAAAAAAATCATGTTAGAAAAAACAAGATAAAATGGGAACAGTGTTAAAGTTAGACTCAGAAAAACCTTAAATTTATATTTACCTTTTTATATTTTATATATAAAAAGGTAAATATAAAAAAGATTATTGTAATAATAATAACAACAACAATCCACTAAAATCCATTCTTATTCTTATTCTTATTCTTATTCTTATTATTTGAAATTCAGGACAAAGTACATACTCAAAGATATATTTAAATACACAATTCAAATATACATATATACTTAACACAGTGCTTTACCAAAATTAAAAGTGAACTAAATAGAAACAAGTGAAAGAAAATTGAAATGAACCCTGACCCTGGGTCCAGGAAGACCAGGTGTACCAATGTTTCCTTCCAGTCCCCTGATGCCCTGTGAGGGTGTGAAACAGTTAAATTAGGTCAAAACTTAAAACTTTTAAAACATTCATTCTCATGTTTGAAGCACAGCTGAACATTTCACCTGAGGACCTGGAACTCCTTCTTCCCCTTTAGGACCTGGAGGTCCTGGTAAACCCTGCAGGAAGGTAGGGTAAATTGGGAAGATGGGAAGTAATGATAAAACATTTACAGCAAATGGACTCCTTATATACTTCATCACAGATCTTTGATAGAATCATACACACACCAGACAGGCTGTCTCACCTGGACTCCAGGTCTCCCAGGGTCCCCCTTTCCTCCCCTTGGCCCTGGTGGCCCCTTAAAGTAAAAAAAGAAACATGTTTAAACACTTCAGCTTCTCATGTACTGTACGTTGTTGTAGTTGGTGTATTAAGGTATGGGTTTATGTTTTCTCACCTCTTTTCCTTGGACAGTTATCCCACGCGGTCCAACATTTCCAACAAGTCCAAGTCCTCCTTCAGGTCCAGGTTTTCCTGGTGGACCCACCTCCCCCTGAACCACAAGGACAACATAAGTTTTAAAAAAAATTCTCTTGGTAAAAACAAACATTGTAACATTATATAGATGCTGTTGGTCTTTCTTTAAAACACAGCCCTGCTTAATTTAGATTTTTGTTTTGAAATAAAAAAGGAAACATACATTCTATTTATTTATTTATTTTTAAATAAATTTCCTTTCACCTTCTGGCCTTCTTCTCCCTTATCTCCTTTCTCACCACGAGGACCAGGTCTGCCCTGAAATACAACAGTTTTGTAAATGTATTAGGATCAAGTTATACAATAAAAAAGTAAAAGATAAAAACTGTAATTCATACAGTAGGCCCAGGTGAACCAGGAGCTCCAGGAACGTCAGAGGAACAGGTGCAGGTGTAAGGCTGAGAAGGACAACTCTCCTCATCTCTCTGTCAAAATAAAAGACATTTTCACAATTGTCTAATGGATTGTGAAGGACTGAGCTCTTGACCTATTTAACATCATTGGGATTAGTCAGAAATGAAAACTGGTGTCTTTCTGTTCAGACAGAAAACAGGAAACAAAGTTTTTTTTTTAATATTTAGAATTTTTAATTTATCTTGACTTCGATTTCTTTTTCTTCAGGGGTCGCCACAGCACATCACCTGACTCCATCTCATCAATTTTGACTAATTATGATTAATCATGATGAATGACGCTAATGATTAATCACGACTTTTTGATTTTCTAATGAAAGTTTAAATATTTTTGTATTGATGTAGGTGGAGCAGGAATAAACTGACCACTCCGGGCAGGTCACAACAGGTGTCGTCTAACACCCATGTGTTGTTGCAAACAATCTCAAAGGACAGCAGCTGGAACTGGAAACAAAACAAACGCAGAACAAAAAAAAAATCGTCATGTCTGTCATGTTCATGTAAACAATAACAGTGTGAATCTGGACTCAGATCAGTTTAGTAGAATCTACAGGATGTAATTACTGGAACAGATCCACTGTTAGGTCCCCTGGTCTTCATCAGTTTTCCCAGCATCTCAAAACCATCAGTAGGCAGGCTGCCCAGGGGACGGGCTGGTCTCTCACCCACACGCTGGCAGTCTACAGACAGAGACACACTCCCCTGACTGATGGACAAGTGAATCTGTGGAATAAAAGAAAAATAAGCTCGAACTAATCTGTGGAATAAAAGAAAAATAAGCTCAAACATAAAATGATGTTCCTAATATATCACTTCTAATTGGATTTCTAATTGAATCCAAATTTCCTAAGGATATCAGGAAAAAAAATGACCTTGTGGAAGCTGCCATAGAAGAGTCTGCGGACCTGGGACTGGTCAAAGGTCAGTTCCTGCACCTCCCCCCTGTAGTCCAGACTGAAGTAGACCAGGTGTTTTGTGGTAGCTGTGCAGGTGAGCAACGGTCAATTAGAAGAGTCACATTTCTAATCATGAGTCACTTCAGGATGGTGACAGCTGGATGAAGGTATTTTTCTCTCTCTTAACTAACTTTTAAGCATGAGAGACTTTGTTGAAAAAGGTACAGATGTGACTCACGGTCAAGTATGACTCCCATCTTTGGCTGGAAGTCGTTGTCTGTGAGCTGCCACAGAGAGAAAGGTTCCCTGGGGGTGTCCTGCAGGACACGGAAGGCGATGCTGATGGTATGTTCAGGAGAGAATCCTGCAGGATGGATAAACCTGGAGGAGGAGGAGAACAAAAAAAAATATTACTAATTCATAGTATTATTTTTGTTCACATTGTAGTAACAACTCTGCTGTCTCACTTGGTGCTCTGTGTCAGCTGGATGTCTCTGTACAGGCTGTAGGTTGGACGGGTGTTGAAGATGAACGGTTCTGCCACCACGCCCTCTACAGACGAGTGAGCTCTAGGGGTCAGACCGAACGCTTCCATCATGTCAAACCCTGCTCCGAGAGAGAAAACACAGACATTCGTCACCTACAATTTCTCTTTTCATTTGTTCAGAAATGCGGCAGAATCATTGTCTGTGCAGACTGACCGTTGACAATGTTGTTTCTGATGGTGACCTCGGGACACACTGTAACACAAGAGGGCAGTGTTGACCGACATTTACTGAGAGAACGCGAGAAGCGGATGTAGTCGCTGTACTGCATAACTCTTTACTTCAGCAATTATACACAAATTTTTACAGTGAAAGCAAAGATATTTTCAAAAATATAAATATTCCTAATTTTGGAAGAATTATTATTTAATTATTTAACACCTTTTAAAAATTATAATACTATTAAAGACTATACTGTTAAATACTAAACAATATAAAATATATAAAATATAAGATACAAGATAAATAAAATTAATAAATAATAAATAATTAAATAAATAATTTCTCATATATTTGTAAATTTTTAGTCTGTGTGGATGTGCATACGTTACCTTCATTGTGGATAGGATATAACCGTGGATGAATGGGAATATGGGCTGGAGCTGCAGCTGCAATAGTAAAGTAAAGTAAAAAATAAATTTTTTTTTAGTGTTATTCAAAGTGTTATTCAATCTATAGCTTATTTGTTGTTAATGTATCTGTAAAAACTAAATTGTGATACAAATAACAAGAAGAAATCACAATATTTTTTAATATCATATCATATGTATGTCTTTTTTCAGCATGTATTAATTACTTATATTATATTCTGCTGTAGTAGCAAATGTCTAAAAGGGCAGAATTAATTCCATTTAATTTGGAAACTTAATCAAAAATAGTGCATTGCTCTGTTGAGAATTTTTGAAAATTTAATATCCATTATGTTGATATTTGATATTGGTTTCTGTAAGGATCAATTATATTTTTATAAATATAAATTATATTTTCTATAAATTATAATTATACAGCTTAACAACAATTAGGGCAGACCAGCTGATCAACAATGAACAAAAAAATTGTCATGAAATCCACATGGGTCAATTCAATTTAAACCTGTTGGATGGAGAATGGAGACGGCAGCGCCCTCTGCTGAGCCCAAGATAGAGTACACGCTGATGCGATACAGACTCTCTGCTTCCAGATCAGTGAAACAGTGACTACTTTTGGACTCGTCCACGCGTTCTTCCTTTGTTGTTTTGTCTGCACAGAACAAACAGTTACATTAGCAACCACCACAGCATGTGGCTTTTAATGTCCATTTTAGACATAAACATAGAGCGTACTGCATGTGATTGGAAAAAATGTTTTTACTGATCCTTCCACCGGTTACCTTTGAGAGAGTGAATGGCAATTCGATATTCAGAGACAGCAGATGCAGGTCTCCAGGACACACAGATGCTGGAGTGGTCAGATCTGACCACGCTCACACTGCTGACCCTCAGACTGGCTGGAGAGGGAGAGAAGGGGAGAAAACTGTCATATTTTTTCAATATGAAAATACAGGTATTGTTTTGAAAATCCCTGAAGTCTTACATTTAAGTACTGCATTCATATTTTAGCATCAATTTTCTTCTAAATAGGATTGTAATACGCAAATCCAACGTCATGTAAAAGCCATTAATTCTGTTAAACTCACCTGTTTTTCCCTGAGCTGAACCACTTCCTCCTTCTTTGTTTCTGTACTCAGCTGTGACGACGACACCGTAACGCGTATCTGGCTGTAACTCTTTCAGCAACACTCGCTTTTCACTGCCGGAGACCAACAACTGCGGATGACAAATGCACAGCACAAGAGAGGTGAATTCCCGAGACACAGTCAGATCAGGTTGAACAACACAAGATGGAAGATAAGACAAGCCTGAGGCTGAGTGATGAAGAAGACCTGAGGATGACCTCAGCTCACTCACAGTACTGTCCTGGGTTTCAACCCCAGAGAGTGCAGTGTAAGTCAGCCTATACTGGAGGACGTGAGCGTTGGGAGGAACCCAGCTGACGACCATGCTGACTGGCGTTTCCTCAGAGATTGTGACACTCGTCGGTCCTCCACCAGACACTGCGAGGACAGGAAAGACAAAGACTTTCTACTCTTCTTTCTCTGTAAGCAGACGCACTTCTAAGCGAGACTGAAATTTTAAGCAGCTGTTATCTCGGCAGGACTAGCTTTACGTGAACTTACTGGTGCTGTAGCGAGTAGCCACAGCTTCACTCTGAGCTCCATCTCCATACAGCGCTGACAGAGAGATCTGGTACTCTTTGTTGTCCTCAACCCCTTCCAGGATGGCTCCTTCACTCTCACCGCTCACCCTTAACTGGAACAAAGTACACGAATAAATAGCAACAAGTTACTCTTTAATAGACTGGAATACCTTTTATTGGCATTTGCAAACAAACTTTTTGACCATAATTGTCCTAAAATTGAAAGGGGGGGGGAGAGGGTGCGTCAGGAGCAGATAGATGGAGCATCCGTGTGAACTAAGATAAATGACATGTAAAAGTCATGCAAAAGCTTTTATCATTTTTACGCCATCTAGTGGGGAAACGTGGGTATTGCAGGAAAAAGG